GATTGTAGCGGTGGTTAAAGGAGTCGACATATGTGATAAAATGGCACCGACCTAGGCACGTGATATTGTTTGATCCTGTTCCACACTTACACAAAATGGAAACTTTGAAGGAAACGGAGTGACGACCACTTGAACCCTCTCTGTACCATCTTTGAAATTTCCTCTGAATCTGTACTTCCAAATAAAAGGTTAATAATTTTAAAGGTGCTTTCCAGAAAAATATGAATAATGTTGATTGCATGCAGGTCGGGCGACGCCTTTGGCACATTGAACGACTGGCATCTCTAATCCATCCCATGTACGACTGCCCCTGGCCAGGCCCTGTCGTAGGCTAGGGCGCCCGCTGGAAAATAGGACTCGGGACTCTCTCCTGCTTGGCTTTGAGGTAGAGATGCCAGATATAATATAGGCCGCCCAGTGAAATTTAGATTCTGATAACAAATGGATAAATTTTTAGTAAGTATGTACCATGCATATTTAGGACATACTTATGCTAAAAATTATTTCTCAGTTCTTTCTTCATCTTCACAGGTGTTGCTATTTCAGATCTTTCATGTATGTATATAGTCACTTTAATGCTACTACTTTAATGGAAACAACACACCACAGCCTGTAGGATCCAACAAAAGCGGCACTAAGAGGGAAGTTTATGGCTGTAAACACCTACTTTTCAAAGGTAGATAAACAACCTAACAATACATATTAAAGAAACAGAACAGCAAGAGCAAACCGAACCCAAAATTAGCAGAAGAAAAGAAATAATAAAGAGCAGAGCAGAAATAAATGGAATTGGAATGAAGAAAACAATTCAAAGCATCAAGGAAAGAAAAAGTTTGTTTTTTGAAAAGATAAACAACATTGACAAATGTTTAGCCTAAGACTAAGGAAAACACAGGGAAGGCCCAAGTAAATAAAGTCAAAGGTGAAAAAAGAAACTTTAAAGTGATACCGCAAAAGGATTCAAAGGAGCACTAGTGGCTATAATAAGCAACAATATGCAGAGAAATTGGAAAACCTACTAAAAATGGATAAATTTCTAGACCATTTAAAATGGCCTAGATCGATTTAAGCCTACCAAGATTGAACCACGATGAAATCCAAAACCTGAACAGACCAATGACAAGTAATGAGATTGAAGCGCTATAAAAAGCCTCCCAGCAAGGAAAAGCCTGGGGCCTGATGGCTTCTCTGCTGAATTCTACCAAGTATTTAAAGAACGAATATCAATTTTACCCGGACTATGCCAGAAATAGACAAGGATGGAATACTTCCAAACTCATTTCTACAAGGTTAGTATTACCCTGATACCAAAACCAAAGATACATCCAAAAATCAAAACCACAGGCCAAAATCATTGATGAATATTGATGCAAAAAATCTTCAACAAAACAATAGCAAATTGAATTCAACCACACATTCAAGTTGGGGTGCACTGTCCCAGGTTCACTCCACCCTTCCCCGTTTTCTCTCTGTGCCTGTCTGCTTTGGCTGTGCCCCCTGGTGGCAGCAGCTGTGGCAAAGTTGGTGTGTGGACCTCCCAGGACAAGGGGAAAGCGACTATGCCCTTCTCTTGCCTCCTGCCAGGTGTCTGCAGCCTGGCACCAGCTCCAGCCAGGTCTTCAAGCAAGGGACCTGGAGATGTTCTTTTCCAATTTCTGCATTGGGGAATTGAGGCAAATTCTGGGCATTAGAGTCAGAATTAGGTGAGGCTGAATCAGGGGAGTCTGGGGTCCTAAGAGGAGAGACCTGAAACCCTCTAGAGCGTGTGGGGAGCTGGGTGTGTGTTCAGGCCAGTTGGTTGCTTCTCTCTGTGCGTCAGTGTTCCAGGTACCCTTGCAGGGGCTGAGATCCTGGGGACTCCTGGAGCCCGGCTGCATGGCCTGGCCACCCTGATGCCCTTGTGTTCTCCGTGACAGGCCAGCAAGGCCGAGGAGAATGGCTCCGACAGCTTCATGCGCTCCATGGACCCACAGCTGGAGCGGCAAATGGAGACCAGCCAGAACCTGGTGGACTCCTATATGGCCATTGTCAACAAGACGGTGCGGGACCTCATGGCTGGCCTCAGGCCCAAGACCACCATGCACCTCAAGATCAACAACATGCATGCACCGCCTCATGGGGGCAGGGGGCTCCTGTGGCACCGGGGACGCATGTGGCCATGTTGGCCTGCGGGAGATGCCCACCAGCCCTATGGGACCAGGTCCAGGGAGGGAGGCATGGTCTAGACCAGAACTGTCCCATAGAAATATAGCATGGGACTGTGCACAGTGGCCCATGCCTATAATCCCAGCACTATGGGAGGCCAAGGCAGGAGGATCGCTTGAGCCCAGGAGTTTGAGACTAGCTTGGGCAACACAGTGAGAATTGGTGTCTACACAAAAATTCTGAAAAATATCTGGGCTTGGTGGTGGCACATTCCTGTAGTCCTAGCTACTTGACAGGCTGACTTTGGAGGATCGCTTTGAGCCCACCTGCACCTGCGCCCTCCCCTTCCCAGCCCTCCCCCAGCTGCTGCAGCTCCCCCTGCTCTGCGCTTGCCTCACCAGCTCTCTCCTTGCTTTTCTCTATCCCATTTTCTATCTGCTTTCTCTGCAACTGCCAGCCGATTGGGTCAGGGAAGTCCATCCCATCCTGAGAGTCCCAGGCCCCCCTTCGACCTCTACACAGATCCCCCCTCCTGTCGGAGACCTCCCTTTCCAAGCCTGCCTGGGCGGCTGTTCTGAGACTCCCCCAGCCCTAAAGCCAGCCCCCTTCACCTGTGACTTAGTCCGTTGTAGCGGTGAGCTGACACATCCAGGTGTGACTGTCCCCCTCTGTGGCATGCCCTTGTCCTGTTCTCGCCTCAGGCACTGGAAATCAGTGACTGTGCTGTCCCTGTAGAGTCTTGTGGCCCAACAAGAGAAAGCTGTCCCCTCACACTACACTCCAAAGTGCAGGACCTCCAGTGAGCCTCCCTGTCACCCAGGCCCCGCCATCCCTCCCACCCCTGCCAAGCATGGGGTTGCTGTGCAGGCAGCCCGGTGGCCTGACAGTCTCTACCAGTCCTGCTGTCCCTCGGCTGAGAGTCAAACCCATTTCTGGATGATGGGGGATATGTCCTATATGGACTATGTTCTCTGTGGAGCTCAGGGGAGGGGAAAGACCAAGCCATTTCTGCAATGCTGTCGGGTGCGGTAAAAAGGCCATAACCTTTCCAAGGGACACTTTTCCTGGAAAGCCCCTGGAGCTTAGCTGGTCTTATCCTGTGAAGCCGGCTCTGGCCACTAGGGAGCAGGAGGGCCATGAACTCA